TTGATTATCATGTGCCTTTAATCCCAGCATTTGGAAGGCAGAGGCAGAGGCAGGAGGATCTCTGTGAATTCAAGGTCAGTCTGGTTTACATAGTGAGCTCATGCCAGTCAGGAATGTGTAGAGAGTTGGTGTTTAAAACAAACAAATCAATAAACCAACAGTACGGCTCTCTTATCATGTTAATTATATGCAAATGTTTATACACAGAGACCTGTGTCTATCCATTTCCTTCCTGCACAGTCCACTGTTGTAACTGTTGCATCTTTACACTAGGCATTGGCAGGTAGTGGCGTAGGGGCCCAGTCCTACCCACCACCTAGTTTTTTTTTTTTTATCTTTCTTTGGGGGGGGGGATTTCGAGACAGGGTTTCTCTGTGTAGCTTTGGAGCCTATCCTGGCACTCGCTCTGGAGCCCAGGCTGGCCTTGAACTCACAGAGATCCGACTGCTTCTGCCTCCTGAGTGCTGGGATTAAAGGTGTGTGCCACCAATGCCCAGCCCTTTTTTTTTTTTTTTTTCATCTTTTTGAAATGGGATTAAAGGTGTGTGCCACCAATGCCCAGCCCTTTTTTTTTTTTTTTTATCTTTTTGAAATTTTTTTTTTGTTTTTGAGACAGGGTTTCTCTGTAGCTTTGGAGGTTGTCCTGAAACTCTCTGTAGATCAGGCTGGCCTTGAGCTCACAGAGATCAGCCTGCATCTGCTCACCACCTAGTTTTTACAAATGACATTTTATTGGAAAACAATCTTACCTCTTTGTGTCTTAGTTATCTGCACTTGAGCTGCAGTGGCCAAGTAGTTGCAACACAAATCCATGGGACCCACAAAGCCCCAGACACATGTATTCTGCCCCTCAACAGTTTCTTTGCCTCTGCTCCAGACTTCTTCATACTGATACTGGAGGAGAAGGTTCTTCCTTGTTCATTTCAGCAGTTGCTTGGCAGGGCTGGCATCTTTGGTCTCAGAATTGGTTCTAAGCCTTCCCTTCCTTTTACCTACTGTATTTTTTTTTCCAGGTGTAGGGGATAGCCATGGAGGTAGTAGATGGCCGTGGGAGTAGAAGGGTGTGGTGGGTGAAAAACTGCAGGACAGGCAGAATAGGAATTTGGTTGCTTTTAATTTGTAGTTTACTGAAGGGATAAGCCATTGCTTCACACTGTTGGCATTTTCCCTTCCAGAAATAACCATCTCTACAATTATGTCTTTCACTAAACTTGACTGTTTCTGCATTTCTATTTCACATTTCAAAGTTTATTCCTATGTGTATTATTGCTTTTTGATGCTAATATAATTGAGACCTCAATTATATTTCACAATTGGCATTATGGTGGAAGGAAGGATTTTGTTTATTGTGCATTTAAATTGTTTCTGATCCTCACAGATGTTTAAACTATTAGACATTAAATTGTGTGACTGACAGTCATGTCTGAACTTAACCCAAATCATCTGATGCCTAGTACTCATATGTCAGTGCTCCGTTGTCGAGCTCTGCATCTGCAGTGGGATACTGGAGTGGTCTGAGCCCTCCCTTTCCCTTTCATCTTGCACAGATCACAGCAAATAGTAATGCAATCAAATGACATTTTCATACCCAGTCGGCATTTGTTGGTGGTTTTGAAAATACCCAGAAGGTAATGTAGGTGAGTTTTTATCAGGCAGGCTGTGCTGTGCAGAGCTGATTGTGGCCTTAATGTGGGCTGTAGAGGGGTGCCTGTCACCTGCAGTGAGACCACCACTGTTCGCTGTGGAAAGCCTTTTGGATCATGGAGTACAGTTGACTTAACCTTGCATTTATCCTTTGGAATTGAAAGATGAGCCGGAGCTTTTTATGAATCTGTTAGTACTTTCCTGAATTTATTCCCTGTAAAGCGTTTGATCTTTACCCTTACATCTTTGCCTTAAGGATGTCAAATCTATTTTAGATTTCAAGGTCTATTACTTGCCCTGAGCATGGAACAGTTGAACCATAAATCCAGTATCTGTTAACCTTTGTGAATTTATCTTTTATTGCTATTTTTTTCCTGCCAAATTCATGTCTTCTTAACTTACGCTATGAGACTAAAGGACTATTCATGTTATTGGTTTTGTCTGTTTTTCCTTTTTGAGTGCTGTGACAACCTGGTGGTTGCAGTAGGAATTTGGTATGGAAATGGATAATTGACATAGTATGTGACTTGTGAAATGGACCCTTTTATCGCCTTTAGTGAAGTGAAACACTTATGTAGAATGTAATTGTAAGCATTTCTGTGTCTTTCCCAGGGTGTGGAGATTTCCTGCCACCGCCACTATGTATGTCTCTGTCTACACTTTTATGCATAGCAATGCTGTCATAGGTTTTGGAGTAGTGTCAGGCCACTTGGCTCAGTCACAGAGAGCTCTGACTTTGGCATCTTTGATGCTTTGATAGATCTTTGGAGTTAGACCTACTTAAACAGAAACTATTGTCTGCTTGCTTGGTGTGGAGTTGATAGTTTTAGTTGAGTATTCCAGGCATTGTGGTTGGGGCCTGCCCCATCTCAGCATTGTGTAGGCAGCCAGTTGCCTAGTTTCATCCTTACAACACTATACAGGGTAACTTGTTTCTCTTTATAGATCGAGTTGATAATTAGGTTGAATTAACTAGAACTGGTTGACTGGTGATTTGAACCAACTTCTAGACTCCACGGTCAGAACGTAAAGCACAGTGTTGCCTTTGGCTTGTGCCCCTGTGAACTGGGTTGAGTGTAGAGGGGAGATAGGTGTGAATTGGAAGAAAAGGATTTGTGGACTGGTGTGAAAACACTGAGAGGCCAGGGAAGGGTGTAGTAGCTCATGAAAGTGGGGACTCACTGTAAGGATAACTTGCTTCTTCTCTTGTACATCTTCCATCTTTACTACAGGAAAAGAGGAGGTTAAACAACCTTAGTTTGTGTAGGCACTCTTATGTAAAGTCTGGCATGACCTGAACAGCAGGCTAATGAAGTGACATATGTGGCCACGGGGATGCACTCGTGCTACATGTGTGCTGGCCCTTGACACATCCTTTCTGCCTTCCCTTCTGTTGTCCTCAGTGGTAAGATAATCCATGGTCTCAGCTTTGACTTTGGGGTGGGGTGGGAGCAAAGTGGTAATGGAATGTGTTGGCCTGTTTTCCTGTTTGTTTAGAACACCGAGATGGTTGTGGTTTCCCAGAAGGATTTGAGAGTTGTCTATTTCACCTCCCACAGCCTCTTGTAGGCCAGGTGAGCACAGTTGTTTCTAGCTTGGAGACACTGTCCATTTTTATTAAGTATAAACATGAGTAGGTATATATACTATATATATATATATATACTATATGTACATATATATATATGTACATATATACTACACACGTGTACATATGTACATTCTCACCCTGTATACCTTTTGGAGCCTTTGCAGTATAGGTGTGCTAAATTGATCGTCTGGATTGATCCTGTGCCATTTACCTTAATGGCTAGATTATTCAGATTCAAACAATTAACAGGAGTCTTAGCTTTTGTTTGTTTGTGGTTCTAAGATTGGGTCTTGAACATGCTATGCCCCTCCCTCCCCCAATGCACTGGGATTTTAGGGGAACACCACCATGCCTGGCCAGGAGTCCATCTTTAAGGCCTCTTTAGAGGTTCTAGATGGCAGTGACTGCTAGAGCCATGCAAGTGTGCATGTATGTCATCTGATCCTGTGCCCACCTGTGAATGTCAGGGACGTCTTGTTGCCTGGCTCCCAGCCCTGTAGGGCTGCCCACGTATGGATTCCTTGGGCAAGTGAGCCTGTTTGACAGATGGAAGCACAGCAGGTCCAGTCCAGCAGACAGCTCACAGGGTCGAATCTGACCTCTGGGTGTGCACTCTACATCTGGTGCATGTCCCCAGTGATAATGGTGAAGTGATATAGAACGGTGTGACTCCAAGAGTGTCTTTTCTAAACCACTTTCAGTCTAATGTTTGTGATAGGAAAGAAATGGGATTAGTGTAAATCCTGTAATTTAGAACGATATTTACTGATACTTTCTCAAATATCAATTGATATTTTCAGCTCCTTTGTATAGTATGCATATATGCATGTGGACATACTTTATGCAGTCTTGTCTGTGCGTGTGTGGTGCTAGGGATTGACCTAGGGCTTCATACATGCTCCATTAGGACTCTACCACTGAGCTATATCCTTGCTTATAAACACATTTGAGGTGGGGAATTCCAAACCCTGGTAGTGTACTGCATTTGTACTATGCAAGGTTCTGGCATGGAGCAGCCTCTGGAGTGTCTCACGCCTGACATAGCATGCAGTCCTGTAGCGGTTAGAGTTGGTACATGGTTGCTTGTCTGCATGAGGGCTGCTTCCTCAGGAGTGCGACATTTGAATCTGTGGCGTTCTCCACTGTTGCAGGGCCTGCAGTGCTGAGTGCGACATTTGAATCTGTGGCGTTCTCCACTGTTGCAGGGCCTGCAGGTAACTGCACACTCCCTGTGCTCTGTGAGTAACAGTTCTCTAGCTGTGTGTTTAAGGGGAGGTGGAGGGCTCTAGATTCCCGGGATAGTACTGTATAATCAGCCACGGAAGAAACACACTGTAAGGGTTTAAAGTGCCGAATATCGGGACACCATCCTGTCATTTTCCGGCTGGGCGTGTGCTTATCATACCAAAATTCTGGGGAAGGACGGGAAAGGGAGCCCATTTCCTCTGGGATCTGAGCCATCTTCTATTTGAGTGGCTCACTTGAGTTCCGAACATTATTTTTATCTTCCTGGGAAACGCAGGTTGGGCTGGCAGGATTTTGCAGCCACTGCAGTAGTTTTCTTTTTACCTTAGAGTTGAACTCCCATGAATTTTAGCGTTTGGTTGGAGGTTGGACTTAGGATCAGAACTTCTTTGTGGGGGCTGAGTCAGTAGTTGCATGTTGTTGTTTACTTGTAAGTATCCTGTCAATTGAGGCATGGAAACAACTATTTCCCTTTACTTTTGACCTTTTGAAATTTCTTACTGTCTGAGAACCAGCTAATACTGATTTGTTTTTTTTTCCCTTTTCTTTTAAAGACTTTCAGCTGAACTCTCATCTCTCAACACTGGCAAACATTCATAAGATCTACCATACCCTTAACAAGCTAGTAAGTCATTCTTTAATGATACAGTTGCCGCTTTGAAGCAGCCCCTTTGTGCAAGTGCATTTAATAAGAGAATTTATGCTGTGCTTATCAGTTGCTTATGAAAGTACTGAGTGTTTGCGCTTGCTGTAGGGTATGCGGTTTCTTGGAGCTAACGATCATATTTCTTACAGAATCTGACAGAAGACGTTGGCCAAGACGATCACCAAACAGGTAAATGGGAACACCACTGACTTTCAAGTAAGCATGCTGAGGTGTCACTGTGAGAGGGAAGTGGTGGCCTCAGTTAACAAGTTGTCACTGTTGAGGACCAGGGTGAAAAGGCTGTCATGGTACATTGCCTTCCCAGCAGGGAATCTATCCCGAAGCTCTGGGTTGTGATAGTGCTCAGAGGGCCTGAAGATACTCTAGTTGGTTTCAGGAGCAGTCCTTTTCCTTACCGAAGTGTCTCAGCTCGTGCTGAAAGGTGCTGGTAACACAGCCTGAAGGCCTTCTTCAGTTGCACAGTAGAGTGGTTTGAAAGGTGGGAAAGTGTTTGTGTCTGTGGAGGTCCTGAGTGAATGAAAAAAAAAAAAAAAGAAATAAAAGGAGGACATGACTGCTCCTAGCTATGTTGGAGGAGAAGGTTTATTGTAGATAAGAGGGATAGCTTAGACAGAGGCATCCGGAAGTGTCCAGAGTGGACATGACCTGTCAGCTCAACTGGGCCATGACATGAAAGAAGGGAGGGGAAAGGGAGAGAGGGGAACCAGGAGCAGAGGGCAAGAGTCCAAACAGGAGGTTATCGAGGAATCACAGCTGAGGGAAGGACAGCTCAACCCAATCTCTGGCCTGGAGAAGTTTGGGGGTGGGGTATGACAGCCAGGAGCACCCTGTAACAGGTAGGGACTGAGGGATGCTGGGAGAACCTGGGGACCAGTGTCAACTTTGATATGTTAATAGGCACCTCAGTTAGCCTTTTGTTCAGGGTTTGAGACCCAACACTGAGGGTTCCTGACTGGGAAAGTGGACACCTGGTTCTTAAAGTTGTGCTCTAGACCCATGGTCTTCAAGATTCAAGCAGCATTATGATTTCCTTACTTTAGCTTCTTCTGTAAGTTTGGGGTATGGCCTCAGTGTTTGCCCATCTGACTGGCACCCAGGCTATGATAGAACTGACCAGGGGACCACACCCTGAGAACCACTTCTCTAAGCCTCATGACTCTAAACTTCACAAACATGCATTTTATCTACAGCTACAAAATTTGTAGCAAAAATATTAGAATGTATTGTAAAATAGAAAAATTATCACAGTTCTACATGGCCACTCCAACAGAACACCCTAGACATGATTTATAAGTAGTCATGTCTGACTCTCGGTTCTGGAGGCTGGAGAGGCAGGCAGCATCAGATCCCTGTCTGGTGAGGACCTGTTCCCCTGGTGGCCTTTTGCTGCGGTTATGTTCAGGAGAGGAGGCACTGTGCAGGATTCTTTCATGAGGCCTGATTCTCAGTCATCAGGGTTTCACCCCTGTGACACAGTCAATCCTAGAGACCCCAGCTTTCCATCCCAGTACTTTGGGGATTGGATGTCAGCATATGACTTTTGGAGGGTTACATTCAGGCCCCAGCTTGTTGAAGACATTTGCGTGGCACCAGAGTGAATGGAGTGAATGGAGATGGGATCTCCCAATCTGCCTCTTTCCCCGGTACTCAATTGTATATTGTTTTTCCCCGGATGGTTTCATGCATGCATACATGGTTGTGTTTTCTGAAGCATCCATGGTATTTGATTTGTCATTTAATGGTAGATTGTTGACATGCGGACCTCACTCATATCCTCTTCCCAGATTGATTCAGAATCACTTGAAATTTAAGCGTAAGATGGAGTTTGAAGAAATAGTCTGTTGGAAGGTGCTGGCTTTTCAGTACTCACCAGGTCCAGGCTGACACACCTGCTGTGTGCTGTGCACCAGCCCTGCGATGGGAAGGCTTCCTGCTCTGCTGGGGTATGGGGCTTCTCAGAGTAGCTGGGCTCTCTGCTCAGCTTCCTTGCTCTGGATCCCCAGTTAGACCAGGCAGGGGAGGAGGGGTTGGGGAACAGACTGTGCTGGGTGTGTTGAGGAGGTCAGTGGAAGACAGTCCATTTTCAGCAGCACATTTTGAAAGGGTCTGTTCTCTTTTTAAATTGCTGCTTAATTGTTCAGTTCATGCACATATCGTATGTTCTCCAGCCTCTTGATGTGCATTTGTATGCTTGAGCTTAACTCTCAGCTATTTTCAGTAATACTGAATAATATCTCCAGGGTCAAGTTAATAATTAAAGAGAAAAACACAACTCTCTACTTGAAACTGTTGGTGATCATGAAGATTTTTTTTTTTTAGGTTTAACAGTTGGTGGTGTAGTTTTAGTTTTTTAAATATTTTTTATTATTATTTACTTTTTATTGAGGTCCTCCACAGGGAACCTTCAAAGTCCATCTTATCATTTGGGGGAGGGCCTAAGCCCTCCTTAGTTTTAGTTTTTAAAATAGAATTTTGTATTATCTTAGCTGTAGAAACAGCACCTTATTTCTGACTTATGAATATTATATAGTTAATTTTGGAGTCCAGATTTAAATGAGTAATTGTTACCATAGTACTTTCATATCTAAATGTTTAACTTAAAAATGGCAATATGATAACTGTAAGTTTTAATTAAGGAAGGTGATGAAGGAAAGCATGTTTGGCCCTGGCCACTTGTCTGCCCCTTGGTCCCCAGCTGTGTCTGAGTACCTGGACAGTATTGATTGGTGATCATCTTCTGTGTGTACTCATGTGTGTATGATATGTGTGGACATGTGTATGTGTATGTGGTCATGGAGTATGTATATGTTTATAGGTGCTTGTGTGTGTGTATGTTCATGGTGTTTGTGTATAATGTGTGCGTGTGTGTGTGTGTGTGTGTGTGTGTGTGTGTGTGTGTGTGTGTACAGATGAATGCAAGGTATGCTGTGTGGCTGTGCATGGAGGGGCCAGAGGTTAACATCAAGATATCTTCACTTGCTTCTCCTCCCTATTTTTTAAAACAGGGTGTCTCACTGAATCTTGAGCTCATTGGTTTTATCTAGACTTGATTGGCCAGCAAGCACCCAGATCTGCTGTCTTTGTCTATTCCGCTGGGGCCAAGGTTACAGACACATGCCACTATGCTCATCTTTTTATGTGGGTATTGAGGATCCAAAATCAGGTCCTCATATTTGTAGGATAAGCATTTTACCCATTGAGCTGTCTTCCCGGACTAGAGCTTGTTACTAGTCTATCACCACAGTCTATCTGGCTGTGGCATCTGTTGTGTTTCCTACTCTGCAGCATACATTGTAAAAGTCAGACAGTGGAAAACAGTGAGGCTTGGAGATGTGAGCAAGTGTGTGTTTCTTTGACTGTCTTGGTCCTGCAGGAGTTTGAGCACCATCCATAATCATCGTGTGTGGAAGAGCCCAGACCCTGCCAGAAGGTGAGGCATCTCATGCCCTGCCTTGTGCTTCTGATCTTCACAAGGGAGATAGGGAGATGAGGATGAGGAAAAGTAGCCTTGAAACAGAGAACTGAATTAACAGAAGAAAAACACAGCAGGGTGGAGGGCAGGAAAATGATCATACACATCAGAGTCAGTGTTACTTAGAGGCAAAAGAAAAGGAATTTCTTTGTCTTAAATAGTAGGAAAACTGCTGGGCGGTGATGGCACACACCTTTAATCCCAGCACCCGGGAGGTAGAGGCAGGCAGATCTCTGTGAGTTCGAGACCAGCGAGTCTACAGAGCGAGTGCCAGGATAGGCTCCAAAGCTACACAGAGAAATCTCGTCTTGGAAAAACAAACAAAAAATAGTAGGAAAATTTTGTTCTTTTAAAAATTATTAGTTTTATGTGAACAGATAATTCACTGAGGTGTTGAAGAAAATGAAATACAACCCTAGATGCTGGTGGGATGTCTTAAGAACGCTGTGTATTTATATTAAACTGTGAAATCTCTGACATTGAGTGAGCATTGCAGTGAGCTTCATGAAAACACTTGGTGGGTGGGGCAGAATGAGCTGCCAGAAGTGTTATGAAATGAGCCCTGGGACAGCAGGCTCACTAGAATGAACAAGGTAGAGTGAGGTGTGCATTTTGAACATGTGGTTCAGTTTGGACAAGTCAGAAACAGCCTTTCCCTCCTCTTTGGGGATGACTGGTAACTGGGCACACAAGTTGCCAGATCTTGTGAGAGATTAACTCTAACAGGGACTCTTGCTGAGCCTGATCAAGTAAGGTGATTGTGATCACTGGAAGACAGAAGGATCTGCTCAGGCATTGGTTCAGAATAGCATGCCAAGCATGCTAAACTGTTAGGAAAACAGCAAGCAGGGGGACGATTCAGGTGTCCTCAAGTTGCCATTAAAACTTGCCTTTCTGGGACAGGTATTTAAACTGATTAGTATGGGAAGGAAGACTATATTAATTGACTTCATTGAAAAAATAAAATATAATTTGTTCTCTTGAAATACTACCCCCCCCAAAGTGAAATCTGAAGTTTTAGAGAAAAACCTTTATATACAATTGGGTTTTAAAGTTTTGTGTGTTTGTGGTGTATGTGTGTGTATGTGTGTATGTGTGTTTGTTGGTATGTAGTGTATTATGTGTGTGGGGGTATGTAGTATGTGTGGTGTGTGTATTGTGTGGTATGTGTGTATGTGTGTATGGTGTGTGTTTGTGGTGTGTGTATATGTGTGTGGTGTGTGTATGTGTTTGTGTATGTGTATGTGTGGAGGCCAGAGAACTTCCTGGAATAGGTTTGAAATTTCCTTCCACCTTTATGTGGATTCTGGGGAATCAGACTCAGGTTGTCAAGTTTTCATGACAAATCCCTTTACGGGATGCACCATCTTGCTAGTCCTAAGTTTGATTTTCATTATCTCTTTAATGATTATTTTAATGCCATACCATTTAGAAGAAACTTGTGTCTGTAGTCTCAGCATTCTGGAGGCTGAGGCAGAAGGATTGAGTGTTCAAGGCCAGCCTGAGCCATATAGAAAAACCCTGTCTTATAGACCTCAAGGGCTGGGGTCCTGGTCAGCAGTAGAGCATTTGCCTGGCTTGTGTGAGGTTCTGAGTCCATGCTGTAGGGAAGAGAAATGCTGTGTAACTGTGAGTGTGGTAAAGCTGTGGTAAATCCCTTCCACCTAAAATGTCAGGTGAGTTGTAACTCATTTCCTGAAGCAAACAGGCTAATAGGAGTTCAGAAAAAAAAAGTAGGTAAAGATATAAATTGAAATATGTAAGCTTTGGAGCCTAAATTTATTGAGATAAATGAATAAAAATTTGTAGAACACTCATTTAGATTTAAGTATTTTTTTAAAGAAGCATTCTATTGCCAGTAAACATGAAGTCAGTTTTGCTGACGAATGTGGAGATAAATCAGAAATGATGGTACATTATCTAATCGTAGGTGTTTCAGGTGTCTGGAAATGGTTTGATTTTAAGCAGCTTGATTTATGCATGCTTTAGGAACACATTATTCAGTAAATATTTAATTGTCTAAGGAACTCAAAGTATCTTTTTACTATCATAAATTATTATATTTGCTATATATATACAAGTGAACCCAACAGGAAACCACCTTTTTCCTTTTCCTTTTCCTTGTACCTTTTTCCTATCCTGCATTTTAAAAAATCATTTGTTTTTATTTTAAAACAATTTTTTTCTTATTTTACATACCAATTCGAGTTCCCACTCCCCCCCCCCCCCCCCCGCAGAGAGGGTAAGGCTTCCCATGGGGAGTCAACAAAGTTTGGCACATCTCTTTGAGGAAGGACCAAGGCCCTTCCCCCTCTATATAGGCTGAACAAAGTACCCTCCAAAGACAATGGGCTCCAAAAAGCCAGTTCAAGCACTAGGGATAAATGCTGGTCCCACTGCCAGTGGACCCCATAGACACCCAAGACATACAATGGTTACCCAACATTCAGAGGGCCTAGTTGGGTCCTATGCAGGTTCCCCAGCTGTCATTTCAGAGTCAGTGAAATCAGGATAACCAAACAGGAGCTACAAGTCTATTTTTGTTGTTGTTGTTTTGATCTTTACCTCAAACTAGCCTTGAACTCGCTTAGGTAGCCAGTATTGATTGGTCTTGAACTTGCAACCTTTCTGTCTTAGCCTCCTGAGTGTTATGATTACAGGCTGAAATAACAGGCACTGACCACTCCTGCCCAATATGCACACATGTATGTGTACTTTAAAATGTCCTAGCAGGTTCTCTTGCTTGTGATCTACTGGGCAAGAGAAGGAGCAGAGGAGGCCGAAAGCAGGTGTGCGGCAGAACCTGTGTATGTTGTAGACTCAGGTCTTGTTGGGAAATTGTTCTTTTAAGAAAATGTGCAAAACCTTGCTTTTCCTGTAACCTGGAGAGTTCTTTCTGAGTCGTGCCATCCCCACATGTGCTCTGAAGCAGCTATGCACGGGCAGAGTTGTGGTTCTCAGAGATGAATAGGTGCGGCTTATCTGTGGAAAATGGCCGGTAACAGTTACTATGCCAATACTCAGAGCAGAAAGATCGAAGAAAGAAAGTCATGTCTCTTAGCTAGGAGAGAAAAATTTTAAGTAAGACTCCAAACTTGAGGATATGAGTAAGGCCCACACAGATAAGAGATACATACTGTTACGTGAAACTTACCATGGAAAGCATTCCTTGGCAAGAAAATTAGTTGACTTAAGGTGTTGTGTGCTTACCCAATATGCACGACTGTTGGTGAGTAGGATGAGTGAAAACAGACTTGTACTGCTGTTTCTAAAGAAGCCAGTGCTAAAGGAGCTAGTGAATTACATTTTATTGGAGGAGATGTTATTTTCAAGTGCTCATTTCTTGTGGACTGAGGAGATAAGTGCATTTTCCTGTGTTCTGTAAATATCGTGGGAGGGAAAGGCTGCTGCCAGACCAGATGCTCCTGGAAGGAACTGTCTGTCCCTCTTGTGTGTCCGTATCTAGGATGGTGGAAGCCCACTTGCAGTGGCAATGCATGCTCCCAGTTCTGGACACTGTTTCAGATTCTACAACCAGGTAGCACCAACATTTTCCTTCTACGGGCCTACCCGAGGCATCCATGAGCAAGGATAATGTTGTCCTCTGTGCCATCGTGTACACGAGCTTAGGTCGCTGCAGTGTTTAAGCCTTTGAGTACATTGTGGTGTGGTTTGTGACCAGGACTCTTCTCAGTAGGGAAGGTGAATGAGTGTGTGGGGGGTGGTAGGCACTCCCCCTCCCCGGGCTCTTTTCCTCTTCGCAGCTGCTGTTGTGAGAGGTAGAGAGAACATTGCATATCTGAGGAACCTTATACTCTTGGACAGTTAGGCTCCAGGCAAGGTTGCTGGGTGTGATTTGCCCAAGCCTGCTGGGTTCTGGACTGAGGGAGCAAGCAGCTCTGACACCCAGGGACTGTACAGTCCCAGCTCTGGGCATGAGTCCATTTAGGAGACCCTGAAAGCATATCATCTAGGAAATGTTGCAGAATGGTAGAAGCCTAACAGTGACCTGGGATTTGGTTCCCAGCAGGTTGTGACTGGCTGCTGACCACTCTTGCCTTGTCTCTCATATCTCCCAATTGATTGTGATCTGGCCTCCATCCATCATCCTAGCTTTTTACCAAATGTAGTTTAAGCCTTTGTTTCTTGCACAGTGGCTTCTCCCCATACCCCAGACTCTCCTTTGACTTGGTTACAGAGTTTGATGTTTACAGTGGCCGAGAGCTGACTTTGCCACTGACCACCAGTTTCCTTACCCTTCAGCTGCACACACCTACACACAGTGTGCGTCATCAAGTGTTTGTTGAGTGGATGTTTATTCTCAAGAAAATTGTGAGAGGGCAAAAGAGAGAACTTTTCTCATTCTTCAAATGATGAATAACTAAGAGACCTAAAATAGGTTAGCAGTTGCCCAGACTACAGTGTTAGCTGAAGAGCTGAGTGTCCATTGAAAGCAGATTACCATAGCCTAGCATGCTTCCAGCATGGCTGTCCACAGCCTTTCAACTATGGTTTGAGGAAGGAGGGATGGAGGAATGATGTACAGTCATTTTCGAGACCTTGGGAAGTCTCCCAAGTGCCTGAGCAGTGGTTCCTCTCAGCTCTTATGTAGAGAATTGCCATTGCCTATCATGTGCGAGGAATGATGTACAGTCATTTTCGAGACCTTGGGAAGTCTCCCAAGTGCTGAGCAGTGGTTCCTCCCAGCTCTTATGTAGAGAATTGCCATTGCCTATCATGTGTAGGGTTCTTGTGAGAACTAACTGGCATATCTGTGAGCCCAAATGGGGTATTTAATATCTTCTAAGTATGGTTTAAGACAGACTGCAGTGAGACTGCCCAGATTGGATCCTAGTTTTACCACCTACCTCATTTCTCTCCTTTCTTCTCTACTGAGGGAGTGGGGCCTGTCTTCATAGTCCTTTTCATTAGCTTAACTGAGTGAATGTATGTAAGGGTTAAAAACAGGACCTGCAGCATACCTCTGTGTGTGTGTGTGTGTGTGTGTGTACATCTATCTATCTATCTATCTATCTATCTATCTATCTATCTATCTATCTATCTCCAGTGTTACTGAATATTGTCAGATTTTCATAGTTTTTCTGAGTTACCGTTACACTTTCTGAAGCCCTTTTTGGAGGTAACAGTCATTTGCAAGTGGCAGAAACAAGGAACAGTTACTGTGAAACTTCTGTTTTGAAGTCAGATATCTGCTCCCTCAACAACATCCCTTGAAGCTTGTGTTAGGACTGGTGTGCTTGTGTATATTTAGGCAGGGTTACTGGTTAGTTTGCTTGCCTCATGAAGTATGTGTATGTGATGGCAAGACAGTTTGTCTTGAAGGAGTGTTAACATGTAAGAAGCAGGGCATCTCGGTGATTTCCGTGTGCGTGATCTTCCCAGTAAAGCTCACTTCTGTTTCTGTTGCGATTTGGGGTAGTGGGGGGTATTCACTCATGTAATGGCAAGGTTTATTTCTTGATATAACATTTCCTCTAAGAGGAACTAAAACCCATTTTCTCTCTGTAATGGTGTTGACTGATAACATCTAACCACTTTATAGAGTAGGCAGGCCACGGGGGTTAGTTATTTAGCAGTGACACTGTTTGGAAGTTAGTGTGTGCTGTGCCTTAATTTTGTGTTGTCCGGCTTTGTTCTGTAGGAAGCCTGCGGTCTTGCAGTTCTTCAGACTGCTTTAGTAAAGTGATGCCACCAAGGAAAAAGAGAAGACCTGCCTCTGGAGATGACTTATCTGCCAAGAAAAGCAGGCATGACAGGTAGAGTGCAGAGGCCATCAACCCAGGTCAAGGGCACTCTCATGGAGGTGTACAGGTCTGACTCCTGCAGCAAGGGGCTTCATTGAATGCAAGTGCTGACTGAAATATTCTTTGTTTCTATGGGTGATATTTCCACATGTAATTATTTAATGATGCTTATTGTATGTCTTGCTTTGTGGAACCAAAAGAAAATAGGCAATTTGAGCTTTTAGAAATTATAGTCTTATCTTTTTGGTTTTTTGAGACAGTGTTTCTCTGTGTAACCTTGGTTGTCTTGAGACTTGATCTAAAGACCACGCCAGCCTTGAACTCACAGAGATTTGCCTGCTTTTGCATCCCGAATAATGGGATTAAAGGCATTGCCTTTAGTTTTATTTTAATCAGTTGATTCTCTGAAACTGGAATGGCATCAGCTTTCCATTGATGCCTGGCTGGCAGAGCCTGGGAAAGCTTGTCACAGTGGGTGTCTGTCCTTTGGAGAGGGTCTCACTAGCTGCAGGCACAGGACCAGAGTGTGGCAGCTATTATGAGTGTCCTTACCCACCCAGAGTATCAGCCAGTCCAAGTTTCTTCTCATATTGCTGAGCATTTAATGAAAATGGACAAGCAAGGTTACTTAAATCACATCCAGACAAGTCACATGTTAATTATGGTGTTGCCAAAGGACTAGTAAATGTTTTTCTTAGGTATCTTTATTGTTTTGCCTTGATCTTAATAAGTAACTTTTTCTTTTATCACATGACAAGTGTCTAGTCCTGTTTTTTTTCAATCTTTCCCCATTCCCACTGTGTGGGTCATTTCATCAGTGGGCAGCATTTCGTCTTTAAATGGAGGGACTTAGATGATTTTTGTGTCTTGATGCAATGCTTCATTTGTTACAACTCAGTTGGAGGAGCAGAGACAGACAGCAAAAATGAAAGTAATGCCACAGTTAATATCTGAGCAGAAAATGTTATTTAGGAGAGAGTGATTTTTACGATAATCACCAGCTGTCTTCTGGCCAGTGGTTTTCAATTTTATGAAACTGAGTACCTTCCATCCATCCACTGATGAATTCCAACACTCATGTGGCATTCTGTATTGCAATTTTTTTTTCAGTATAACTTGGTATGATACTAATGGACTATGAAAAAAACCAGCTTAAAAGCTGGCAGTTCAGGTGCAGGTTTTGAGTTTGATTTTCGGCCTTTTAATAACTTTATTTACATACCATTAAGTTGATACATTTTAAGTGTATAATTTGGTTTGGTTTTTGAGTTGGATACGCTATCACTACAATCCAGTGTTGAAACATTCCCACCGTCCCAGCCAGTCACTCCCAGCCCCAGGCAACCACTCTTGTATTTGGTCTTCTGTGTTTCACTTCTTATAGTTAGCATAAGAAGTTAGCATAATGCTTTTGAGGCTCATCTGTATGATAATGTGCACCAATATTTTGTTTCTTTTAGCTGCTGCATTCTTTTTCCATTGTATGTTCTTAGGCAAGTTTTATTTTTAGGGAATTCTTCCCTTGTATTGCCATATGGGAGAACTACAAATTTATTGAATTACAGGCTTGGAGCTAAGATAGGAATGCTCAGCCCCTTTGAACCCTTGGCTAGTATCCACTGATTTATGTAGAAGAAGGAAACCGTGGGGTTTGTAGTCTCAATAACTCAATACCTTCCAGTAGGATGTTCTAGCAATGATAGCTGCCAGAATTTCTATCAGAAGTCTGCACCCGGTAATTAGTCATTGTCTGTGTCACAAGTAAATGTTCATGAATAAATTTACTAAGATAGAGAATTGTCTATGATCTTTATATTATTATATGAATAAAATTATATCCACGAATATTAATACATCTGAATATATGTGATGAGTTAAAATATATACCCGTTCTCTAGCAAGTCACATTTGAAGCTCCTGCCCCTGTCTGTCCCATGTGGGACACCTCCCTCAGGCCTGTCACAAGATGAGGGACTCCTGAGTCACAGGAGGCTGCTCTGCTTCGAAATCCAGTCTCCAGCTCAGGCTGTCCAGCAGGCTTGCGATGGAGCACCAGGATCCAGGGAGCTGTTCTCTCTCTCCCAAGAGACTTCTTTTAGCCTTGCACCTGCATTAGTTTTGTTCTAGAAGCTTGGACAGGAGTTGATATTTCTCTTTATTTGCTCAATGTTTTCTGGCCTAACTTACTACTGACAAATTACTCCTTAGCCTGTGCCTGGGCTTAAACTGATTTTCATGACACAGAAGTCAGAGGAATTTAATGGACCGATAGGAGTAATTAGTGTTTTTTTAAGGGTCATTATGAATGCCTTATTTCTTGACAGGTTTTTACTTAGAATCTTTCTATAGTGAATTCTAGATAGTGAGGCAAGTTTATCAATTAACTAGTATATTTAATTCTTACTGATGTTGATAAGATAGTTGAAATTCCTTACTGTTTATTTATTAAGATATGGCTGTATTTCAGCACTAGTTATGAAACTGCTTATGCTTGAAAATGTAGGGAGTAAAACTTTTAAAATATATTTAAAACACTGGTTGAGTAGACGTCTGGTTTATGCCAAAGTGAAAAGTACTGCTACCTGAACTCAGTGTCTTAAGTAACATAAAACTGCTTTTTCAATTTGTAGCATGTATAGGAAATATGAGTCAACTAGAATAAAGACTGAAGAAGAAGCCTTCTCCAGTAAGCGGTGCCTGGAGTGGTTTTATGAATATGCAGGTAGGTAATGACCTGCGTTGTGAAAAATCGATCCTTAGGAAAATAAGAGGCATCTTAGAGGAGATTATAGAATCTTAAAACTTGGACTTTCAAATTGTGTGTGGGGAGGCGGTGGGGGGAGTGGGGCATAGAGGCAGAGCTGAGGAAAGGGATGTAGTTGGAGCCAATCACTGAATATCCTATTTATAGCCAGCAGCTAAGTCCAAGAATTCAGAGCACTAGAAGGGAACTGAAAAGATGAAATACACTTGGGAGCAAGCCTTCGGATTGCTAAGAAACCTAGTTAGAATCCCGATAATGGCTAATCACTTGGTTTAAGTGTTGAAGTTAAAATAAGCTTTGCCGTTTTGAACTTCATTGTGGTGCAGTGGGATTTCCTTGCATTGAGTGTCTCTGTTTTGAAAGATCATCTGGCAGAAACTGTTTGCCTTGTTTAAAATTTCTTAAAATTGAGCTGCCTCTTTGCAGTTTACTGTAATTGGTTGGACAGCACAGTTGCTGCCTAGGCCTTGTGGTCACTGCCTGGTACTGACATTGGGGAGAGGAAGAATAGAGACAGAGTGCAGGCTGTAGGTTTTTGACCTATCATCTTCCTTGCCATAGTTTAGGCCTTTTCAACTTGACTGTTGAACTTTAGCACAACCACCTTGACTGTCACAGTAGCCCTCACCCATTTTCCTGCCATGGGGTTAGTTCTAGACTAATATTTGCTGACCATGAAATCCGGGTTGGGGGCTCCTGAATTATGTTAACAATCCTACGGCCTTCCACAGAACTCTGCACTTCCACAGGACTTTGACCATAACTTGTTTTGTTCAACTTTGCGTATAAAATTTAGAATTTCTGTTTTCCCTTTGCTCTAATGAAAGTCTTGCCCCTCTCACTGCAGAGACTGCCCAGGGAGACCATTTTCTCCCAGGCTTTGCAGGTGTGCACTGAAAGAACATCTTTATTTTGGGCATGAGCATGGGGCGGGGTGGGGGGAATGTCTGCAAGGAAACAGTCCAACTCTCAGTTTACACTTCAGTGTAGAGGCTTTGTGAAGTACCCCTGTGCTTCTAGTGAATTCTCCTTTTACAGTTCCAGCTGGATTTGGTGTGCAGGGCATGGACACTGGTAGAAACACCTCTGGGATTGGGGCGTATCTGTTTCCAAGTTTTGTTACAACAGGAGTCTTTGAAGACATGCTTAATTTGATGTAAAAATTTGATGTAAAAGTGATTGACAGCTTCCACGGGCTCAGAAAAGGGCTGAGTGGATGAAGAGGTGTTCTACAGCCTTACTACCACGGGCTCAGAAAAGGGCTGAGTGGATGAAGAGGTGTTCTACATTCTTATTATATTAGGAAGATCTTTTGATTGCCTATATTGATTCACATTTATTTTTATGAAAATATAAAATTATGGAAATTTGGGGCTGGAGAGATAGCTCAGAGGTTAAGAGCGCCGACTGCTCTTCCACAGGTCCTGAGTTCAATTCCCAGCAACCACATAGTGGGTCATAACCATCCGTTATGAGATCTGGTGCCCTCTTCTGGTGTGCAGATATACATGGAAGCAGAATGTTGTATACATAATAAATAAATAAAATCTTTGAAAAAAATATGGAAATTTAAACAAAGCCTAGCATAGTAGCACAGCTATTTTTAGTGTGTGTGTGTGTGTGTGTGTGTGTGTGTGTGTGTGTGTGTGTGTGCATGTGCATGCACTTGCTTTTCTTTAAAAGCAAATGAAAGAGTCTGCTTTTTATTGTTTTGTTTTTTTCTTAAGAGGGCAAGATGGAATTGCCTTCTTGCTTGCTTTTCTTTGACTGTACAAGGTGACATTTTGGAAGTAAAAATAAATTGTTTATGTTCCTTGGCGTTCCTGATGGGCTACTGTAGTCACTTATTTTTGCAGCGTTTGTGTGGATGAATTTATGTGTGTGTTTATAGTCCCTTAGCCCTTTCAACCCCATTTTTAGCCTTTTCTTCTTGTGTACCTTATCAGTTGGAAAAATGCCTTCAGATTGGGAATGGCTGAGAGCCCAGTTTGCACCACCTTCACTTTGACTATCTCAGGCACATAAACTGGAAGTGCAGGTCACGCTTAAGCTGTGAGAGGCACCAGGGTGGCCTTCGGGGCGCTCTAGGATGTCTGTGGGAGAAGGCCAGGAGGCTTCTCGAGGATGGCCTAGCAGCAGGTGTGCTGAGGACTGCCTTTTAACCTGAAGTGAAGGCAGGCATGGTAGGGCCTGGGATAACTGGTTCTGTGAGTGGATCTCTATTTCTTTCTAGATCCCCCATTCTATTGTTGCTCCTTGGTGCCCACAGCCCAAGGCCAGCAGGGTTTAACTTATTCTGAGATGGAGTTTCTCACCTTTACAAACCAGTGTAAATTCAGTTACTGATTCCAGAAGTTTGCTAAATAAACCCTCTCTTCTGGGACTTCTTCCTGGTGTCTGGTTGTAGTTTTATTCCCCATTCTAATTTGGAACCATTTTCTATTAGTCGAAGTAGGATTGGCCAAGGTTGAAGCAATGCTTAGTTTCAATTCCATTTGAAAATGGAAATGCTTTCCTTTTCATTAGAATGAAAATAGCCAATTTTATATTAACAGTCTATCAGGTGCTTCTAATTCCTATAGTCAATATGAAAATAAATTGGGGGAGTAACATGGGCTTTTGTTTTTGTTTTAAACAGTGCTTCATTATAGCTCACATATGTAGGTCATGTTATTTCTGTAGGCCATGACTATAGCCCTTAGGCTATTTAGAGTTAGGTTCTGTAGTATTTGTCTTTTGGTCTCTGAAAGTGAGATTAGAGACCAGAAAGATGGTAACATAAGAAAGACATGGGCATTTATAAAAATGCTAAAGTGTTTTTTTGGAAGATATGTTAAAAATTACCAAAGAGACTCAAGGAGAGCCTCTTGCTGCAGTTGTATGTCCTGGTATGGTTATGAGAACTTCAGTGTGATGGTCTTGGGGTATCAGGAAAAAGTTAGGTATGTGTAGAGGCCCTGTTTAAAGGGGCAAGGAGTGGGGATGTCACTTAAATTTTTGACTTTTCTCACAATTTGCTTTTCCCAGTTTACCTCCAGCTCCTGCTTAGTGAGTCAGGGCATCACATAGCTCATTGTTGGAAGTACAGATGCATTTGTTATTTTAAGTCTCCTTCAAGGTCCACTTTTAGATACCCTGCATAATCCAATGGTGTATTCTTGACTTAACCTTGCTTGACAAAAGTTACTACTTTACTCTTGAGATAAGTTGATAGATTTATTCTAAAATAAAACCAAAATCCCTCTCTTAGGGTTTCTGTTTCATTGATACACACCATGACTGAAAGCAACTTGGGGAGGCGCCTAAAACTTTCAGGTTATACTCCATCACTGAGGGAAGTCAGGACAGGCACTCAAGGCAAGAATCTGAAAGCAGGAATTGATACAGAGGCCATGGAGTATGATTTCTTATAGCACTCAGGGCTACCTGCCCAGAGGTGACACCACCCACAGTGAGTTAGGAGGGGATACGGGGAGGGACAACTAAAATAAAGGGCCATTTGAGGGGTAATACAGAAACCTGGCACAGGAGAAGCTTCTTAAAATGCATGCATATATGAAGGCACTGTAGATGAAGTTGCCAAATGATGGGGGAATCAAAGTCCCAACCGGCTATCTCATGTCACCAAATGAAACTTCCGGTACAATAATTGGATTACATCTAATTGAGTTGTTGGCAAAAGGGGTCTCATGGAAATCCCCAAACAACCCAGGCTGTTGCAAGACTTGAAGTTGTTCTACACAAACTGACAGCAAGACCCCATTGCTGAAGGCAACACCTACACATTGAACAAGGAAAAGTGGAGCTGGTGCCTACATAGAGCCTTCACTCGTACATTCCAGCGTCTTTGGTACAGGAAGGTACTCTGTACACTACCAAGAGAGAAAGGCCAGAAACCTACCCCAGCAACAAACCCTCTGATAATTATGTCCTGCCTGAAAGATACAGGGTATTGGTGGCACAAAGCTTTCGGGAGTAACCATTTAGTATCTAATTTGACTTAAGGCCCACTCCATGAGGTGGAATGCATACCCAACACTGCTTAGTGTGACCAAGAACTTGAGACTAGATACTTAGGGTAAAACCAAGTGCTATTGTTATTTTTAAAAAAAGGAACAATAAAATAACTCCTGATATTCTGCTATATTCATAGATGAGTGCCTTGCTCAGTCATCATCAGAGAAGTTTTCTCCTGAGGCAGATAGGAAAAATACAGAGACCTACAGCCAGACAATATGCAGAAAGTGAGAAACATAGGACATTCAGCCTTAAACAGGAAGTCTCTATCAAGTCTCTCACTTCAGGGCTCAGGGAACCCCGAGGAAGAGGAGGCAGAAAGAATCCAAGAGCCAGAGGGGATGGAGAACACCAAGAAAACCAGGCCCTCTAAACCAGCATGATCAAAGTTCGTATGAACTCACAGAGACTAAAGTAGCATGCAGAACAGGGCCTGCATGGGTCTGCACCACACAGTCTTTGTGTATATGTTATTGCTTCCAATTTTGTGTTTTTATGGGATTCCTGAGTCTTCGAATGAGTGGGTATCTATTCTTGGTCTCCTTTCCTTCTGTTTGTACAATCCCAATGTTAGGTTTTGTTTAATCATATATTTTATTACAGTTTTATTATTTAAGACAATTTTTAAATTTAAACAGATTTTGATCATATTCTTCCCCTCCCTCAAATTCTTCCAGATCCTCTCCCCATCCCTACCCACCCAACTTTAAGTTTTTTCTCAAAAATCAAAAGCCCAATAGAACAATAAAACCTTCCAAAATCATGAAAACCAAATAAAACCACACCCCCAAAAGAAACAATACCAAACTGTAACCAAGGATCTAAAAAAGGAAAACAAACAAACAAAAAACCAAACAAACCCCCAAAAAACCATGTTGTCCATTATATGTTGTTCAGTTACTCCTGAACATGAGGCCTGTCCTGGAGTGGTTTATATACCC